AATGTGTACACGAATTAGGCTGGTGTGCTACACATCAAATTTATAATCAAATTTTTAATTATTAACATCTAATAATATTAATTTATTAATTATTATTCTTATGAAAAAAAATGGTTGAAATCAGGAAAGGTATCTCCTTCTCACCTTTCCTTCTCCCGAGTATTGGGTGCTTAACATGGGAAAACAACACGCTAACAACAACGTTCGAAATTTTAGTGTCAGGTGGCATGTTTGTGGGGGCGACACGTTGGGTGATAGGCTGAATCGCTGATAGCTTGTTAGGAAAAATGTTGTCAAATGAAAATAAGTTAAATGCTAAATTTAATCACTCAACTTTATATAGTTACATTTTTTTGGTTTCTCAATAATTTTTTGTATTTTTTTTATCCTCACCTTTAAAAAATACACAACGTTAATCCTTCCATCAGTTAAGTATGACGTGACTGTTAAATAATTCCATGTGATAATTTCTTTTAATTCTTTTGGTGATGTGATAATATCATTTATTATAATTATATTACATAAATAAATAAAAATACCACATCAAATTAATATTTATATTTTAATAAACAATAAAAAAACAAAATTAGCTTATTACCCTCACCCTCTCAATTCAATCCATCTTCTTCCCCTTCTTTCTTTCTCTTTCTCTTTTTCTTTCTCTTTCTTTCTTTCCTAGCCACCGAACCCAGATAGAACCCAACAGTTGGGTTCAATGGAATCCAAATCAGCTAGGTTCCATCAAACCTAGCTGCTGGGTTCGTTCGATTGTGCTAGGTATTGACGAACCAACACATCTCCCACTCTTAATCCATCTTCTTCCCCTCTTTCTTCCCTCTCTATCAAACCCAAATCTGCTGGGTTCCATCAATCCCTTTCTTCCCCTCCTTCTTCCCTTCTTTCTTTCTTCCCCTCTTTCTTTCTTCCCCTCTTTCCCCTCTTTCTTCTCTCTTTGTGAAACCCAGATCTACTGGGTTCGATGGAACCCAGCAGATCTAGGTTCCATCTTGCACACTAACATTCACCGTTTCCTTTTCTCTTATTTAGTTCACATGAATTTAAGGTTTGAACATGGATAGATTTTTTTAATTTGCAGTCAAGTTGCAATGAGGGGAAAGGGGAAAAGAGTGTGGGAATGGAGAAGATAGTACTTGAGTGGCGATGATTGTTGGGTTTCTTTCAAATTTTAAGATTTTTAAAAATTTTAATTAATGAGACTTAATCAGTGCTACACAAGTTAGAAAAACGTAAATACGACAAGGCAAATTTTGATTATGACATAATAGAACTTGTAAACACAACTAAATTGTAGGTTACGGTTGCCTTGTTTTTCTTTGGACAGAACTGCGAAGGTTGCCCTCTTTCTTTCTTCCCCTCCTTTTTCCCCTCTTTCTTCCCTCTCTGTCGAACCTAACTACTGGGTTTGATCAAACCCAGTAGGTTGAGTTCAATGAAACCCAGCAAGTGGGATTAGTTGAACCTAGAAGTTGTATTCAACCTTAACTGGAGCAAAGAAAAAGAAAAAGGGGAAGAAGATAGATCAAGGGAGACCAGGTGCTAAGATAAATTTTTTGTTTTTTATTTCTTTTAATTAAAAATATGAATGTTCTTCTTATTTGGCATTATTGTTTGTACACATAATCAAATTACAATACATATTATTGCCACGTCATCAAAAGAATTAAAAAAAAATGCCACATGAAATTATTTAACAATCACGTCATGCTTAACTGATGGAAGGATCAATGTTGTACATTTTTTAAAATTGAGGGATCAAAAAAATGCAAAAAATTATTGAGAGACTAAAAAAGTGCAACTTTATTAAGTTGAGGGACGAAATTTAGCATTTAACCATGCAAATATGAGAGTGCTCATTCTGGAAAGAACCTTCTTCTTGCATTTATTATTAATTTTTTAAGAAATAATTAAAATAAAAATTTTGTTTTATTTTATTTTGAAAAATTATTTTAGTATAAATTTTGATGATTAAAAGTAAACGAAACAATATAAGCGCGTAACGGCGTCGTTTTGCACAGGAGAACACTTAACTGGCTATCAGCAAAATGTAAAGGAGCTCTCCAGTATGTTCATCCTCAGTTCCTTCCATTGACGCTCCTCTGCTCCCCTTGGACATTCCAGACTCCACAAAAATGGCAGAAGCCGCACTGTGTGGTGAAAAGTCTACTCAATTTCTTTCTTTTCTGCGCTCTTTAGCCGCACCACAGCCAGGTGCGGCGCCATGCTTCGGCCGTGTCCGCTTCGTCACGTCGAAGCCCGCTCCGCTGCGTGTCTTGGCCATGTCTGTCAAGAGAAGCCCTAAGCGCCTGAAATATTCAGCTCCTCGCTTTACCAAGGTCTAATTTCTTCTCTTTAGATAGTCCTTTTTTTTTAATTTATTTTCTCTTCTTTTTTTTTTTCAGTCTCATAATATAAGGATCAAGGAGAAATTAGCCAAACAATATGCTTCTTGTAGTTTGTTTCATTTCGTGAAATGTTGTTACAATCAAGAGATGTGAGAAATTGGTTTCTGAAACTCCAGAATTAAGTGAAATAATGAAATCACAATCTTCAAAAATCAGTTGAAAACAAATGAAATTATTTGTTTAGGATTTTTTTATAATATGATTTCTGATGACAGTCTTATTAATTGTACAATGTTAGGAGGATGGCTTGCTC